GTAGTAGTAGTAGTAGTAGTAAGTAGTAGTAGTAGTAGTAAGTAGTAAGTAGTAAGTAGTTAGTAGTAGTAGTAGTAGTAGTAGTAGTAGTAGTAGTAGTAGTCGTAGTAGTAGTAGTAGTAGTAGTAGTAGTAGTAGTAGTAGTAGAAGTCGTAGTCGTAGTCGGACTCGTAGTCGTAGTCGTAGCCGTAGTAGTAGTAGTAGTAGTAGTAGTAGTAGGAGGAGGAGGAGGAGGAGGAGGAGGAGGGGGAGGGGGGCAAGCTAGCTGCGCTCGCGTCATATCTGACATCCTACCCCTCCCTCCCATCCCTTACCATGGCGTAGATCCCCTCTCTACTCGCACAGTCGGATGTCGAGCAGGGCAATGATCGCGAAAGGGTGCGCGATGCATTGTCAAGCACGGCATGGCATGGAGTAGAAGAGCACCGCAAAGCGTAGTATCAACCTAGCATTGCATTGCATGCCGTGGCATGGCACGGGAAATGACGCCAGCGCTGCAGCGGGAACACGAGTCGAAACGAGCGGAAGCGAGGAAATGAGGCCAGCGCTGCAGCGGGAGCACGGTTCGGAACGAGCGGAAGCTCGGAAATGAGGCCAGCGCTGCAGCGGGAGCGCGATTCGGAACGAGCAGTGCCCGAAAATGAGGCCGGCGCCTCGGCGAGAGCAGCATTTTGAAAACAAATGCAAGCGAAAACCCAACTCCCGGGAATCCTGTGTGTAAAAAAACAGTACGCGGGGGGGTCGAACACTCCCAGCACGTCATCAGGGGAAGAGGGAGAGTAGTATTCATATTGAGTAATTGTGAAGAGGAGGAGGGGGAGGAGGACGAGGAGGATAAAGAAGAGGAGGAGGAGGAGGAGGGGGAGGAGGAGTGTGGGAATGAGCGCCTCCAGCTCATTGATTTGCAGTTGTGTCCTCCAACGTTTGCCAATGTGCTTGAACATACAGAGAGGGGTGCGATGTCCGTACCCATCCTGGCTCAAGCCGTACGTCCCTCACAGCCCCTCTCTGTCAATCCCAGTCACCTCCCATTCCCATACTACCTTTCCTCCGATATCCTGGCTGGCAACTGCTGGTGGCCTTGGGACATTGCTCGGACGGGCTCGAGAAAGAGGCAGCATCTCATCCTGAGCTGACATCGTGGGGAGACATTGGTAGCGGAGCGTCTGTACGACCGGCGCTCAATCGACTTTCTGCGGACCGATGCCAGCGGACGAGGAGGGTGCTGATAACCAATCTCGAGGATCCGAACATAGTGGCCAAGGGCCGGTGGCAACAGATATTGGGACAGCGAGACAATGGGCAGACGAGGACGGACGCATCAGGCTCTCAGAAGAGCAACTACGAGGCCTGCTTGAGAGCGCACGACAACCTGAACGGACTGCTGAGCAGCACCGCGTCTCAAGCCCGCCTTCGGAAGCGCAGCTGGAGCAGATCCTCACCCATGTGCGTAGCCAAGCTCTACAGCCTAGTCCAGAGCCAGAGGCGGACGAACGGCGAGCAGAGGGCAAAGCACACCAAGAGGACGAATGGCAGCGAGATGGTACGGACCCGTGGGCCAGGGACAGAGCCGCAGCCGGCTCAGCGTCCAGCAGGGCCCCCGAACGAGCTGACCAAGATCGCTGGTGGCAGGGCCGCTGGAATTGGAGTGAAGCCCAGAACGACGGCAACTGGAAGTGGGACGACTCCAAGGACGGCGGCTGGAACTGGAAAGAAAGGGGTCGCGATTTCGCGGACCCTGAACCATGGGCTGGATGGCCAGAGTACAAGCCATAGCGACGGAAGATCATGAGGTGGCGCCAGAGCACAGACGTCTGTGAGACCAAGCACGCCGATCGTATCCTGAAGGCGCTGCCCATGGACCTCCAGAGGAAGCTAGAGGACATTCCAGACGAGGTTCTCATGTCGTGGGAAGGCGCTCAGAAGGTGATCGACCGTCTGGACCTCCTGAGCGGCGAGCGCGTCGGAGACGAGAAGCGCAAGGCCGCGAGGGAGTGCCTCTTCTCCTTCCAGAGACGGCAGGGCGAGGGTCTGACAGAGTACGCCGCGAGAATAGACCTGGCCTTCGACCGAGTCGGCACATTGGGCTTGCCCGTGCCAGAAGACTGGAAGTTCATGTTCTTGGACGAGGGCGTTGGACTCGACGAGCGCGGCCAACAGTTGATGAAGGTTCGCATGGCCACGAAGGATTCGCATCCCGACGCTCTCAAGGCCATCCGAGAGATGGACGCGACGAGAAAGGAGCATCTTGCCCACCAGAGGGCACGCACATATCATACAGATCGAGGAGCCGCGTCGTCGTGGACATCACAATGGACGAACAATGAGCCCAGCTACTCCGTGGAGGACGACGAGGACGACTCGATGGTGGACTTCGACGATGTCTCGCCCCTCAACACCGAGGGAGAGACACAGATATATCTGGCCATCGAGAACCTGAATTTATACGACGACGAGCTTCCGGCGGTATTCGCCAGCATGTAGGAGGACAGACGGAAAACGTGGAAGCAGAACAGGGAGCTCAAGCGAAAGATGAAGGTCGATCGCATGTTCTTCGACAGGACGAAGGAGACGGTCAAAGTGTCGACCTCGCGAGAGAATAGAGGTCATAGAGGAGCAGATGGCACCTTCCGTCAGAGAAAGACCGGGCTTCCGCGGTCAGAGCTCATCAAGAAGACCAGGTGCAGGAAGCGCAACGAGAAGGGCCACGGGGCGCGTGAGCGCCCCAAGCGGAATGGCCAGAGTCTCAGTGCCAGTGCAACCGCAGGAGGGATCACGAACGTCACGGGCTTCGTCTTCGCGAACGCACTGGACCCTGTTGTGTCGGAGACGGAGCAGATCGAGAGGGGCCAGGCCGCGCAGGCGATGGTGCTGCTCGCGGTGGAGGCCGGTGAGGCAGTGGTGGACACCGCCGCCGGCCAGAGCCTGATTGGGGTCCAGGCGCTCGAGCGGCGCTCCCAGAGGCTGAAAAAGCTAGGCCTAAAGATTCTTTTGGTAGAGCCTAGGAACAGGAATGCCAGAGGAGTAGGAGGTGGCACTAGGGTCTTGCACACGGCCCTGGCCCCGACCGGAATCCAGTGCAAAGAAGGTATAGTAGAGCTAGACGTTTTACAGGAAGACGTGCCCCCTTGTGCTTCCAGTAGGCCTTCAGGAGATGCTAGGTTCCAAGATCGATCTCGACAATAATGTTATGAGTTTAAGGCGCTCGGGCGTGGAGACTCCGATGAGGAGGATGCCCAGCGGCCACGGGGCAATTTGAATACACGAGTTCCAATCCCCCCGGAGCTCCAGGTGTCCAGCCTCCCTGTTTCAGCAGCGTCCAGGACTCAAGGAGAGCGATTTTCAGGGTGACAGCGCTGTCGGGGCATACAAGGCCTCGACCATCGTCGATCCTCCCTCTCACCTCTTTTACTTTTCCTCCTCTCAGAGGGCCGAATTACCCAGCTACGACGGTCTCGGGGAAAGGTTGGGGCTCGGTCTGGGGGTCTGTCTGGGGACCAGAAGGTCCCCTGTCTGGGGACCAGAAGGTCCCGCGGCGGTCTAGACGCGCCGACCAGGGCCAGCGAGCCCGGCATAGACCCAGGGAGTCGTTCCGAAGACGGCTTCGCGATGGGGCTTAGCCAGCCTGGATCGTCAGCTAAGGGATCCAGACACTCAGGGACGAGAAGACGCCAGGGGAGATATCGCGACGACGCCTTCGGAGCGATGGTGAGCGGGACCCTCCTCCGGAAGAATCTCATCCACATGTGGGCGGCGACATTCATTGCAGTGAGTCTCATGCTACAGCGGTTCGGCTCGAGTTTTCGAGCTTCAGAGAGGAGCGAATTTCGCTCGCGGCAAGGGCTACAGCCACCAAGCCTGCCGCAGTTCAGAGATGCCCAGTGCTCCTTCAGTCGGCAGCATCAATGCCGGCCAGCCGTCGGAGAGGAAGAAGAAGCAGCAGACCGTGGCCCAGCGTCGCGCTCAGCGGCCACTGACTTTGGTCGACCACCTGATGGACCCGAGCTCCACGTGGACATGCGCGGTCACCGGGGCGCAGATCCCGTCCAACCTGAACCGCAAGGAGAAGGGGTGGGCGGCCATCGTCGGCAGCATCGTGTTCTGGCTCAACAAGCTCGCCGACGAGTTCGGGCGCATGATGCTCGACAAGAGGTTCTGGCCCACGAACCTGATCAGGCGCTTGCGGGTGATCCCGGACGCATTTTACACGTGCCGACACTTGCCCACCAGCGTCGAGCACGGGTGCAATGGGTATGGACAGTGGTGGGTCTGTTCATCATGCACTATGCGGGTCGCCTGCTGCGAGGTCAAGCCCGAGAAAGGCAAGCCGAAGGTCGACGTTTCGTGCGTCTGCAAGCGCACGACGGCCGCGCGCACCTTGTGCGGCAAGGGTTTCGCCCAGTACGGGGCCCCCTCGCAGGACTGGCAGGCCCTGGTCAACGCGCCGGCCCCGCCGCCCGGGTCGTTTCAGGGTGGAGTCACGCCAGCCGGCACTCTCCCGCCCTGGCCAGCTGCTCGCGACCGTCGGGCAGCGGAGGAGGTCTACCGAGGTCACGAGGAGGAGCAGCCAGACGCTGTGATGGAGGATGTAGAGGAGCAGGCTCGCCAGGTGAGGGCTCAGAGGCGCGAGGACTCGAGTCGGGCCCCTGCCAAGCGCCCCATGATCGAAGGGGCGGCGAGCTCGGACGATGCCGGCATTTCCGAGGAGACGCTCCAGATCCTCAAGAACCTCGCGGCCAAGCAGGAGGCACAGGACCGCGTGATTGCAGGCCTGCAGAGCACCATCTCGGGGCAGATGAACGCTTTGGCCACGATGCGGTCGCAGCTCCAGTCGAACTCGCAGCCAGGGGCGCCGCTGAGGCAGCAGCCCGAGTTCCCCCCGCAGCAGGTGCCGCCGCAGCCCACCTTGGCGCACCAGCTCAGCCCGCAGCCAGTCCCATTGGCGAGCGCTCCGGCGCGAGGGCCGGGACGCGGCGGGGCAGCAGCGGTGACGGGCCAGATGGGCGAAGTCGGTCGCCAGGGGCCTCCGGATCTACATCAGCCAGCAGGAGTTCCTCCCGGCGTGCCGCAGATGTCGATTGCCACGCCGCCCACGCAGGTCAGGCAGACGATCGGGATCGGCATGACACCCCAGGTCGTGGGCCTCCACGAGTGGGGGTATCGTCGGGGCGGCGCCCGTGACCCCCGCCTACCCGTCGCACGGCCTGCCTCCTTCGCAGGTAGCGGCCGCAGCGGGCCCGTCGGTTCCGTGGCCGCCGCCAAAGGGGCATGCGGCGTCAACGAGGAGCCTGCTGAAGAAGGACACCGCCAACCCGAGGGGCATCCGCGACAAGGAGGGTCAGCTGGTGTCTTCGTCCACCATCAGCAGCATAGCGACGTTTCCTTCTGTTCAGCCATCGCAGGAGCCGGCGCCAGCCACGCCGGCGGGGCATCCCACGGCGACCGCCTGGCAGCGGGAGACTCCGCAGCCACGGGAGCGTCCTGGTCGCCCACAGAAAGCCTCAGACGCGGCCTGGCAGCGGTCCGAGGACGAGCGTGCCTGGGAGGCCCAGGAGCACCAGAAGGACGTGGAGAAGCGCAGGCTGGCCCAGGAGGGCTGGACTCCGACGGGGTGGCAGGACTGCCGCTGCGACAGCAGCGACGCCAAGTGGAAGTGAGTGGGGCAGCGAAGCCACCTAGTACCAGTACCAGGATAATTAAGGGATCCCAACCACCCAAACGAATACACCATGGAAGCGGGGTCCCGGGAGTCCTTTACGAAGTTATGTTCGCTCTTCGAAGTCACCGAATTGGGGGGAGTCAGGACAAGATCCGTTTCAGATGCCGGGAGCTCGACGACACCATCTTCGGCGATTTCAATTCCGACGACAGGGGGGTTTTCCTTAACAAACGGGAGAGAAAAAGTATATATGTCGATTCGGGGATCCCGATAAGATGAAGAGTTTCAGGGCTCAGCTGAGGAGGCGAGCTTTTGCAGAGGTGTTCTCACCTCCAAGAATCGCCAGGCACGCGGAGCACGCTGGCATCAGGGGCGTCGGCAGCTTCGATCAGGAGGGGGGATGGGACTTCAGAAAAGAGGATCACAGGCGCAAGCTTAGAACCCGCCTCCGAGAGGAAAAACCGTGGCTGGTGGCTCTTGAGCCTCCTTGCGACCAGTTCTCTATAGCCCAAAATGGCCAGCTCCACCAAGAAGTCTCAGAGCATCAGCGACGAAAGCACGCCGAAGCCCTGGTCCTTCTCGGCTTCGCCATGGAAGTGGCTCTGGAACAGCATCCAAACCACAGGAAGTTGCATCCTGTCACGGCCAGCTCCTGGTGTACGAATGTGGTTCGGTTCATATCGGAGCTCCCGGAGGTGCGCGTCACGGATATCGATATGTGTCGATTCGGGCTTTCGATCGCCAAAGGGGGGGAGCTCTCGAAGAAACCCACTAGACTGATGTCAAATTGCGAGGTTTTTCTCCGGCGCTTCGAGGGTGCCCGATGCCGGGGCGATCATCCTCACGCTCAGCTGATAGGCGGAGCCTGGCCAAGTGGCCCCCCCCCCCCCCCCCCCCCCCCCAAATTCTGCAAGGCTCTGGCCGAGGCCATCCGCTCCAGCATCGAGGAGGCTTACCCTCCCCCGACGCCAGAGCAGGTCGTCCGTGCAAGGCAGCCGGAATATAGACAGCTCTACGGGGCCGTGAGCTTTCCGGCGGAGGCTGAGGAAGGCCAAAACGGGAGGAGCCCGGCCCCGAGGAAGCCGAGGAAGACAATCAAGTTCCCTCTAGGCTTGATGTTCCCCCAAAGGTTCGAAGAATGATCCACAAGGTCCACGTCAATCTGGGTCGCCCCCATAAGGATATTTTCGTGAAAATCCTGAGAGCTGCCCAAGCCAAGCCAGAGGTCCTGCAGTTCGTTCGCGATGAATACCAGTGCGGAGATTGCGTCGCGCACGCTCGTCCCGGCAGCGCGCGACCAGCTGCTGTTCCCAGGACTTTCGAGTTCAATAAGATAGTGGCTATGGACACCTTTTTTGTCGCCTTTCAGGACCAGCAGCTGGCCTTTCTCAACATGATATGTCACGGCGCTAACTTTCAGACCGTTGAGATGTATGATGGCACGGCGCTAGGGGCCTGGAGGGCTCTCATGAGGTGTTGGATTCGACCCTTCGTGGTTCCCCTCTTCGCAATCACGGATGGAGGATCGGAGTTCAAGGGGGAATTCGAGCGGGGAATAGAACACCTCGGAGTTGTCCAACACGTCACGGACTCCGAGAGTCCGTGGCAAAACGGTAGAGCCGAAAGACATGTGGGCTGGGTGAAAGACATTCTCGCGAAGGCTTCCGAGGGGGTTCTCGTCGCCACGCCAGCCGAGCTCGAAACTCTCGTTCGCGAAGTCGTCTCGGCCAAGAATCGGTATCTTCATAGGGGGGTTCACGCCATATCGACTCGTCTTCGGGGTCAACCCCAGAATCCCGAACGACCTCACCGGGGACGATCCCCCCCAACTCGTGGGGGCCGAAGATCTCTCTCCAGGATCCTGGGACAGCGACGCGGCAGCGGCAGAGCACGCCCGTCGGGGCGCCATCCGCCGCCTGGCCAGGAGAGAGCTCTTCGAGAGCTCCAGCCGGCGGCGCCTCGTGGACGCTGTCCGCTCCTCGGTGCACCGAGAAAAGCATTTCAGTCCCGGGCAGTGGGTTTGCGTCTGGAGGAGGGCCCCCAGGGGGGGCCAGATAACTTTTGCGCTGCAGAAAGATAGGTGGGTCGGTCCTGGGCTGGTCGTTCTTCGCAACGGCACCTCGGTGCGGGTGGCGATGCGGTCCAGATTGGGGCAATGTTTCACGGGACAAGTTAGGCACGCCACGACAGAGGAGTCCCGGGGCGCCGAGGTTCTTTCAGATGTTTCAGTTCAGATGCTGCTCAGGGAAGCTCAAACGAGCATACATCGGGCGGGGACTAACGTCGCCGCAGAAGGCCCCCCTCCACCAGAGGCCTGGGGGCCCAGTGCTCAGGTCGCCGAAGCCGGGCCGGTTGAAGCCCCACCTGTCGAGCAGGGCCCAGGTGCTGGACCCGGGGAAGCGCTTGGAGAGCCTCCACCTTTTCCGCCAGGACTGTCGAGGGGTCCGGGAGAAGGCATGGGGGGGCATCCGGCCGCGGAAGCTGGCGGAAGCGCTCTTCGACCGATCCCAGAGGAGAACGGGCTCGATGTGGCTTCAGAAGCCGCCAGAGCTCCCGGGGAGGAAGCGGCGGAAGTCTCCGACGTCAGCCAGTCCCGACAGGTGTCCAGCGGAGTAGGATCCACCACTGTCGTTTCAAGGGCTCCAGTGTGCCAGAGAGCCGGTCTGTTTTCCCCGTCGCCAGAAGCGCTACTGACAGGGATGGCGGTCCAGGCAAGACCAGTAGGCGTAGGCAACCACTGCCCCAAGGGGAGAAAAGAGACAGAGGGGGCCGGGTTGGTCTGGAGCGTCGGCCAGCCCTCCCTTTGCCGCCTCTCCCTCCTCTTCCTCTGCTCCACCTGTTAGCGCTCCCAAGCTCGATGCTTCTGACGCGGCCAGTCGACGTCGCAGCGCGGGGCCAATAGACCCTGGTCGGCTCAATCGCCCGATGCAAGACGGTGCTCGGCGAGAGCTGCTGGACCTAGGTTCTAGGATTCAGAGATCCCGCGCTCTTGGAGAAAGATTTGGCGGTGCTACCCCAGGCAGAGTCCAGCGGCAGGTCCAAGAGCTGGAAAGACGCCCCGCCGAGGACCGCCGCTCCAGGTCTCCAGAGAGGCCGGGATCCCGGGCGGAGACACTTCGGGCTTCTTTTTGCGACGAGGAAGTGGATCAGGACACTTTCCGTAGTCAGCTTGACGAAGAGGTCTGGAATAAGGGATGGAGCGGGAACTGGTTTAGTTACTCCAACGGGAGTGCCGACGTTGAAATCATCCCGGGGCCAGGGGGAAGCTGCGACCTTTCTTTGCTTGTGAACCGGGGGGCCGAGGTCAGGTGCAAAGACCTGAAGGGTGAAGAAAAGAAGCAGTTCGATAAGTCAGATGAGAGCGAATGGAAAGCCATCGCGGAGGGCACTCGCGCCGTGATCGTTCACCCCCCCCGAGCAAGCCAAAGAATTGAGACGTCTTTTTCCCGCTAGGATTGTCTCCAGTAGGATGGTCAGGAGATGGAAACCCCATGAGGGGACGCATGCCCCTCCTAAGGCTAAATCTAGGTGGTGCGCGAGGGGTCACCAAGACGAGGATACGAGCGAACTTCAGGTTTATGCCCCCACTCCGTGCATGGAGGCTTTGATGCTGTTCTTGGTAGTTTCCCTCATGTACAAGATGTGCATCTACATAGGAGATATTAAGAACGCGTTTTGCCAGTCAGAGCCACTCAAGAGGGCCAGGGGAAGGGTTTTTGTTGAGCCCTGCGAGGGGGTTCCTGTTCCTTCGGGGTCCCTTATTGAGTTGATCGCCCCGGTTTACGGTCTCGACGACGCCCCCCTCGAGTTTCACAAGACCACCGCGAACTTTCTTAAGTCTCGAGGTTTTGAGCGGACTCGTCTCGAACCGCGCTGGTTCGTGGAACGGGCCAAGCAGGCCCTCCAGGCCCAGGCCCTCGTTGAGGTGGACGATTTGGCCATCGCGTTCAGAGAAGGGTGCGAAGATAACTATCTGGAGCCGTTCCATGCGAGGTATACGTTTGGAAAAATGAAGAAGCTCGATGCCGCTGGTGCGGAGTACATAGGCTGGAGGCTGCGTTTGGACGGAGACAGGGCCCTGGTGGACCAGGAAAAATTCATTCTGGAACAGCTTCAGAAGATTCCCTTAGCTCGAGGTCGGAAGGGGAATCACGAGGCCCCCCTTGTCGGCGGCGAGGTGGCCGCCTTCCGGTCGCTCGTGTATAAGCTGCAGTGGGTGGGCAGGCAGACCCGCGCCGAGGCCGCGGGCACGGCCTCGATTCTTGCCACAAAGGTAAACGGCCCTTCGGTCAAGGACCTGCTGGACGCTGACAACATGGTGGACCACTTAAGGTCCACCGCATCTCTTCCCATAGTAGTCTGGAGGTTTCGACCGGGCGGTTTTGTGCTGGCCACGGCCAGGGACTGCGGAGGCGCATGGGGCCGAGGATAAGAAAGGGGCCCCCCAGCATCCTCAAGAGGCCTGGCAGATTTATATTGCCGATAATTATTTTGCTCACGGGCCCCAGGCCCGGGTGACCCCGATCGCATGGCGATCGGGAAAACTGCGTAGGCAGGTGGCGTCCACTCTGGCCGGGGAGACGTTGTCTCTCTCTCGAGTGCTTTAGGCGAGGCGGAGTGGCTGCAGATTTTGCTGCTCGACGTCACTCGCGGCAATGTCGTCCACGAGCGGTGGCGGGAGAACCTCGGCCCGTTCGTAAGTCTTCTCAAGGAGGACTGCACCGTGCTTGGAGAGCCGGTGACCGGCAATGTCAGCGTCGTAGACGCGAAGGGGATCTATGATACTCTCTCGAAACTCACGTCGGGGACCAAGTCGGATAGGAGGGCCGCCATAGATCTAGCCGTCGTTAGAGAAACCATGGATCGGATAGGGAGCGCGATCATATGGGCCCCGCACCCCATATGCCCGTTGACTGCCTCACCAAGGCCGATCCGGCCAAGACGAACGCCGCCCAACTTGCTCTGCTCAGTTCGGGCATGCTTAGACTCAG